GTGTGTGTGTGTGTGTGTGTGTGTGTGTGTGTGTGTGTGTAATGAAGGGGTGCATGTGTCCCAGGCCACAGCTAGACACCCTGAGCCTCTGATATTTCCACACTCTCAGGCCCTACCACAAATTAACACGGGCTGTAGGCAAGCCACCCTCCCTTTCTGGGTTTCAATTTCCTTACCAGTAAAAACAGGGGCCTCCCAGGGGTGCACTGGTGGGACTCAGGGACTCCGTGGATACTTTGAAATTGTGCGTGTGCACAGTTTTCTGAGGACAGTTCCATAACTTTTATTAGATTTTGAAGGGGGGCCATGACCCCACAAAATGTTGAAGAGTCACGGGGCCAAATGATAGATATGGTCTTCCAGCCCTAAAATTCTGACTTTATGATTCTCTCCGCTGTTTCCTTTCCTGCCTCCTCCCCAACCAAGCACTCTGGAAGTCCAGGGAGGTTGGACTGTGTAAAAACAGAAATGACATGTCCCCTTTCCTCTGTGGTCTGACTTCTTACTGGGAGCAATTATGTGTGGCTGCCTGGAGCCACCCTGGTCTCCTGAGAGAGTCTCCAATGGTCCCTGTGGTCCAGAACCAGGAAGCCCAGGCAGGGGGGAATGACAGCAAGCCTCAGGAAGGAGTGCCTGGGGTGAGAAGTGGGGGAGTAGGGGGAGGCAGGAGACAGAGGGGCCCTGGGAGCAAGGCAACCGGATGGGATCATCCCAGCATCCGTCTGGTTGGAAGGGAGCAGCAGCAGATGCCTCAGGGGTATCCTGGTTACATCCTGGTTCCCAGCTGTGAGGATACCAGGCTGGAATGCGGCCTGGGCCTCAGATTCTGTAACCCTCCATCCCCTAAACCTGATGTCCCTCCGAGCACCCCACATAGTCACCCCACCTGGGGAGAGGAGGCTGTGGGGAACCAGAGCCTTACTAGGCATTTCTTCTGGACCCACCATTGCTCCCAAGGCCAAGAGAGGATGCTGCGAGTTCCTCATGGAGCTCTCCAATGAGGTCCTCGGAAGGGGCACAGACACTCTGTCCACCTATCTCACACACGCACACCCGGACACGCTCCCCCTCACGTCTCACATGTTCACATTCCCATTGCAGGCGCTGGCACCCAACCCCAGCACATTCTGTTCCCAGGGCCATGGGCAGGCAGGACACTGACTTGCTGAAACAGGCCATCCAGGAGGTAGAAAAGCCTTTCCCAGCTGATTCCCAGGTACCACTGCTCCCAGCCTCTCCTCCTGTCCTAAATAGTAACACATCTTGATTGCACCCCTGCTGTGCGTGCCGGGGCTTCTCTGTCCCCTGGTATCCTCTCCTTGTGATGAGGCACCAGGAGGCTCCTTGCTCTGCCCTCCAAGGGCCACCCCCCCCCCCACTCCCCAGCTCTGGATTCCAACCACGGTTGATAAGGCAGCACTTGGATGGAGTGAAACCAGTCATAATCGCTCTTTTCCCTAAAGGGGGCGGGAAGGAGGAAGCTGGAACCCAGAGGAGATTGGAGGAAGAGATTAGGGAGAGGGTGCCTGAAATAACCAGCCCACATATCAGCTCTGGAGGACAGGAGGTGGGGAGCCCTCAGAAGGAGTCGAGGTGCCCAGGTGGCATCAAAACCCCAGGCAGGGACAGCGAGAAGCCGGCCCTGAGAGCTAAGGGCACCCCTGCACACCTGACTCGGAGAGCTTTCCAGTACAAAGGAGAACCCGCCCAGGGGACTCCTCCTCCCAGGAGCCCCCTTACCTGGACCCCGCCTTCAGATCTCCGCCCAGCGCGTCTCCCGCCTCGCCCCTTGAAGCTTCCCCAGCAGCCCTGCCTTCTCCCTGGGGACTTGGCTCAAAGCCCCGCCACCCCACCCCCAATTTCTACTTCGAAGGGCCCATTCTAGCCAGGCACAGGGGCTCAGCTCTGTCTCCTTCGACCTCTCCCTACGGCCCCAAGGGACACGTCTCAGCTAGGTGTCCTCCTGGGCCCGGAGGGTGTGGGTCGGAGGGGATCCCGGGGGGGAGAGTGAGGCGGGGCTGGAGTTCCCCAGACCCACCCCACGGACCCACAGTGGAGCCTGGATCCCGCCGCGGGAGCCCCGCGCAGACACGCTCCTGCAGGCTCGAGCAATTCCGAGGCAGCCTCGCAGACACTGGTTCTCCTCCCCGAACACGCCCCCTCCTGGTCCCCTCAACTCCTCACCCAGCCCTGCCCCGCGCTCCACCTTTCCCCTGGCTCCTCCCTCGCCGCCTGCGAGCACCCTCCCTCGAAGACCGAGCGCCCTTCCTCCCAGACTCCTCTCCCTCCTCCCTTCCCCGCATTCCTCAGCTCCCACTTCCCATCACCTATTCCGGCCGCCGTCCCTCCAGACCTTCTTCACCTGCCCGGCTGACCCTGCTGTGCGCCCGCTGGCGA